CACGAGAAAATTGGTGACAGTTAACTTTGTGTCTTAGGCGATTTCAATGTAGGTAATATTTCTTGGAGCTTTATGGATAATAATAATTTTCTCACTCCATCTAATGTTAATAGTTTATGCGAATCTTACGTAATTGATAACTTGCTATGTATTGAATTGTCACAGGTCAATGGTTTTCTAAATGGACTTAATCGAATTTTAGATTTAATATTTGTTAGCTCTAATATTAATTTTAAGCTCTCGCATGCGGCCAGTTACATCTCGCCTTCCAATCTGCATCATAGTCCACTGGTGTTGGAAATTGAATTTTTTAAATATTTTGAACTCCCAGGTAGTAGTAAAACAGTTGCTTTAACTACTCGCGTTGTAATTTTGTGGAATTAAATAATTTGTTTGAGTTGGATTGGTCTCGGCAATTTGAAAATGTGGATGTAGCTGGCTGTTACGATATTTTTAAATCTATTATAGTTGACACTTGCGTGAGTCACATCCCGATGTTAAGTGCTAAACCTTCGAAGCGTCCGTGGTTCTCTAGAGAACTCAAACGACTAAGGAGCTTTAAGAATAAGTTTTATAAAAAGCAAAAGCATTCTAATGTTGTTAATTTTCGTGAGCGGTATGTGTCTTACAGAGGTAAATTCAACAAACTCAACAAGTCTTTGTATCGAAATTATATTCGTAATATAGAAAGCAATATTAAATGTAACCCCAAGGCCTTTTGGAGTTACATAAAAGCTAAGAAAAACTGCTCAAATATACCTGCGTCGGTTCATCTTAAAGGGATTTCAGCTAATTCCATCTCTGATGCTGCTAATCTGTTTGCCAAATTTTTTTCTTCGAATCTTATTTCAGACAATGCTGATCATGGCTTTGTCCCTGAAGATCTCCTGTTTAATTCAGATACTTCCATCAACTTTGGGAAATTAGATTTGACTGTCGAAGATGTCATTGATGGCATTAATCTGCTTAAGCCATCCAGTAATACAGATGTTGATGGCCTATCGGTCGTTCTAATTAAAAGTTGTCCTGCCTTGATTAAGCCTCTATGGCACATTTTCAACATGTCACTTGCTGCTGGAGTCTTCCTTGATGACTGGAAATTGACTTTTATTACGCCTCTCCTTAAAAGCAGCAATAAAAATGATATTGAGAATTATAGGCCAATTTCCAAGCTAACCACAGTTTCTAAACTATTTGAGCGCATAGTTAAGGACAAAATATACTTGGCCGTCAAACATATGATATGTCCTAATCAACATGGGTTTGTTCCGGGCAGATCTACCTTAACTAATTTAGCTGCCTTTACGGAGGATTGTCTGGATACCTTTCAAAGAGGTTTTCAATTGGATGCAATCTACGCAGATTTTTTAAGGCTTTTGATAGGGTATCTCACCCAATGTTGATAGCTAAACTTGAGCGTCTAGGCTTTCACTCCCAATTTCTAAAGTGGATAACTTCCTATTTAGATAACAGACAATATGTCGTTCGACTCGATAATGTTACTCTTTTGTTGCTTCCTCTGGTGTTCCCCAGGGTAGTGTCCTAGGCCCGTTACTTTTTGTCCTTTTCATTAATGATATTTCCTCATGTTTTTCCAAGTGTAATTATCTTCTATACGCGGATGACCTGAAGATTTATTATGAAATTAAATGTCCAGAAGATTCAACCATTCTCCAGTGTGAGTTGGATAACTTATATAGTTGGTGTGTGCGTAATCGTTTGTTCCTCAACATTAGTAAATGTCACTACTCTTCGTATGCGAAAGTTTTCAGTTCCAACATCTTACTGCATCTCAAACTCGCCGCTAAAGATAATAAGTGAATGTAAAGACCTGGGCGTCTATTTTGACTCCAAGCTCAACATCACAACTCACATAAATTATATTGTTTCTAAATCGTTCGCTATGTTGGCCTTTATTCGTCGAAACTGTTCTTCGTTTTCTGATCCCTATACTCTCAAACTGTTGTACTCGTCCTTAGTTCGGTCCAGGTTAGAATACGCGGTATTCGTTTGGAGACCGTTTCATGCAGTCCATGTTAATAGATTAGAGTCTGTTCAGCGAGCTTTTGTGCGCTTTGCTTTGCGCTCGATGAATTTTGTAGATCCCATTCCGTCCTATCACTCACGTTGCTTACTAATAAACCTCATGTCCTTAGAGTCTAGGCGTGCTATGTTGTCGAGGTGTTTTGTCTTTGATATCTGTGCGGGATCAATAGATTGTCCGTACCTGCTCATGAAAATTAATTTTAATGTTCCCTCACGCATTCTCCGCTGTAATGAATTGTTTTTCGTGGGTATAGCTAAAACTGTCTATGGGATGAATGCTCCTTTTAGGAGGACGCTAGAACAGTTTAATGCATATTCTTCTTCCTTAGACTTTGATTTCTCATACTACTCTACTTTTAAGAATCTACTTGTAAGGCTCTTGTCATAAGGTCTTTGTATTTAACTATCATATAGTCTGTAAACATCCTGTTTGTTGTTGATTAATAATAAATAAATAAATAAAACCATAGTAAATCTACTACGATTGTAGTGAAGTTCTAACCCTTTTGGCGTGTCAAATGAAAGCTTTTGGCTCTTTCTGATTGGATGAAGCAGAAAGTTTTCTGATACAACTCTCTTCGAACTGGTTTTTAAACGAGTTAAATGATTTAACTGGTTCAATTTTCCAACAACAATTGCATGCGATTTAACTTGTTTATGAACATGTTTTGTACATTTAACTGGTTTAAGCCCATTTAACATGTTTAACTCGTCAATTTGAACACAATATAACTCAGGCAAAATGGCTAATATTAATTACACTGTGAGACAAATGGTAGGGGTCAGTGATCGGTAAGGGTTCAAACTACCGGGGAAAGTTATATCGGTAAAAAAGAAGTTACACGTGTTGATTATATAGAAAAACATTATATGAACAGATTAAAGGAATTGTAATTTTAAATTTTTTTAAATTTGTTTGAGCAAAATCGGACTAGTGGTTCTCGAGTTATGTCAAAAAAAGACCACCAAAGGTGACAATTTCCCCTATATGATAGTTATATATATATCTCGATTCCTAGACGTGACCCAGCGAAACGCCGGGACACGTATAACTTGTTTTTGACCGATATAACATTTCCCGTTGGTTTCATCCCATCCCGATTTTGACTGTCGCATAGTGTTATAAATGACTGAAGTCCATTCATGGTACGAAGATAAATGCATACCTATGTATGTATGTACATTAGACTGCATCACCAAAAAAACTTGCGGTTTTCCGCCGGGACTACAAAATTTATTATATTTTAAGACGTCCACCAAATATTTCGGGAAAATACTAAGATTTAAGCGAGCTGGACCGATTTGAAAATACCTCCAAAAATGGAGTTTTTTATGAATATAAAAACAGTTTCTTAAAGAACTTTTTGAAAAAGTCCGCTCAGATGACAAAACAGATTAGGCTTAAAAAATCTGCATAAAAATATTTAAAAATCTTTTCAACGGAATAGTAATAATGAAATTTTGTATGCTGTTTTTTTTTACTTTTTTCAAAGATTGATTTACGAAAAACTTAAATAACTGGACCAAAACTATTCTGATTTAGACTTATTATTTATTTTATTTTTATTTATGTGCAAAACAAGTCACTTGTGTCAAATTTTTTGTTTTTTCAAATACCAACACATCTTAATTCAACTTTAAATGATATTCGTTTATCCTACCTTTCTCTTTAATCCTTTGAATGAGCTTATCAGCAAAGAAATAAAAAGGGTGAGAAAATACCTTTAAAATGATACCGCACAAGTCTAAATCGGAAGAGTTTAGGTTCAGTTACTCAAGTTTTTCTTATATCAATCTTTGAAGAAAGTTAAAAAACAGCATCAAAAATCTCATTATTACGATTCCGTCCAAAATTTTTAATTTTTTTTTTAAATATTTTTATGCAAATTTTTTAAGCTTGAACCGTTTTGTCATTTTAGGGGATTTTTTCAAAAAAAAAAAATCTTTAAGAAACTATTTTTATTCATAAAAAACTACATTTTTGGAGGTATTTTCAAATCGGTCCAGCTCGCCAAAATGTTAATATTTTTCCGAAAACAATAACTTAAGGACGAGCACACCTAAAAAGTTAAACATTCTAATAATAGAAATATTAACAAAAACTAACAAAACCAACAACCACATGATCAAGTGAATTGCAGTGGAATAGCTGCGCTTGATTGTAGTTGGCTTAGCATGTGAAATAGTGGAAATAAGCAACAAGAATCATTAAAAAACGGCCTCGAGCTCCATAAAAATTGTTGAATATAATTGTTATAAGGCCATAAAATAACAAAAAACAAATAACTTAAGGACGAGCACACCTAAAAAGTTAAACATTCTAATAATAGAAATATTAACAAAAAACCAACAAAACCAACAACCACATGATCAAGTGAATTGCAGCGGAATAGCTGCGCTTGATTGTAGTTGGCTTAGCATCTGAAATAGTGGAAATAAGCAACAAGAATCTTTAAAAAACGGCCTCGAGCTCAATAAAAATTGTTGAATATAATTGTTATAAGGCCATAAAATAACAAAAAACAAATAACTTAAGGACGAGCACACCTAAAAAGTTAAACATTCTAATAATAGAAATATTAACAAAAACCAACAAACCAACAACCACATGATCAAGTGAATTGCAGCGGAATAGCTGCGCTTGATTTTAGTTGGCTTAGCATATGAAATAGTGGAAATAAGCAACAAGAATCATTAAAAAACGGCCACGAGCTCAATAAAAATTGTTGGATATATTTTTCCGAAATATTTTGGTGGACGTCTTAATAATAGGTTTTATAATTCCAATGGAAAAACAGAAACGATTTTTTTTTGGTGTGGGGAGTGATGCAGTCTAATGTACATATACTATTTAGTATTAAAAATTGTGGGTAAACAATATTTTTTGTTTTCTTACTACATATGTAATATGTATGTGCATATTTCTAAATATATAACGTATATATTTATACCCAACAGATCTTGAGAAAAGAGCCAGGAACTTTAGGAATGCGGACTTGGTCCAATTATGGTCGCTTATACCTTCGCCATTTTAACGAGCTTGAACATGAATTAGACGCGCGTCTGAATCGTGCTTATGAATACGCAGACAGATACCTCAGTTCATTTTCATCGCCACTAATGAGTGTCGTTGCAAGGTTTGTATGCAGTTAAGAAAACTTGATGATTCTAAATTTAGATGTTTTTTTTTTCAGGAACATCTTGTTTATCACCGGTGGAATTTTGGTGTTAATTTTAGCTCTGGGCATATACGACGAATTTGTTTTCCAGGTTGAGCACGTACTAACGATTATCACAATTCTCTCTGTAATCGGATTAATTTGCAGGTAAGTGGACTTGATTTCAATGTATGTATGTATCTAGCATCCTAATAGAAAATCCCAAGAACTGTTTTATTATTTCTGAGCAATTACAAAATTGTTCGCAGATAACAGTTGCAACCATGTCGTCGCTACCATGTCAAACTATCGAATGTGAAAATGGGTATTTTTCAGGAGAGCTAAAAAACTGTTGTAAAAAATGTTGTTGTCATTAGGAAAAAGTGTGGGATTCGACAATTTGCTAAAGCCAGTATCCTCTTCTTCTACAAAGACTAGAAATTTGACGGTTTGCCAACACGCGTATCATTCTAAACTCATGCGCAAGGTATCGTAATTGAAAAGATGCTTTCCATTTCCAGACAACCGGTTAGGTACGAGCATGATTTTTAATTTCGACCAAACTCAAATACATTGTTTGTTGGTCCAAATAATGAGACACGTATTTTTTCTTTTGGCTCGGAAAAATTTTTCGGCCGAATTAAACGCGATTTTGTTTTTCAGGCAAAAATCGATTATTCGAATTGACAGTGAGAATGTTTTAAAATGCTCATAACTTTGTCAAAATTTAATAGATTCCAACAATGTTTTTACTCAAATGTCAGTAATTCTTGTCAAACTTTTTTACCGGGAAAGAGACACTTTGAACTACAATCAACCCAAATCTCTAATAGCGAAGATTTTTTTTTCTGAGTTATGATTTTTTATAGAAATTATACGTTTTTGTGGTACATACTACAATATTCTTATATTGTTTAGCTAAATGGAATATATGTATGTAATATATCAGCAAAAAGTACAGCCGTGATCATTTTTAACCGACTTCCAAAAAAGGAGGAGGTTATCAGTTCGTCGGAATATTTTTTTTTTTTTTTTTTTTATGTATGTTACCGCATAACTTTGCACCACGTCAACCGATTTCAATAATTCAACGGATTGCAACGGAAAGGTAGTGTCTCAGAGGTGGTCCCATACTAATTTGGTTAAGATCCGATCATTGGATCATGAAATATATAGATATATATATATTTTTTTTAAGTCGGTTTTTTTTTGCTAAAAATTACTTGTTTGTGTATCAAATAGATATTAGAACACACTTTCCACCATACAGTTACGAAATACAAAATTACACTTTCCCGCTTTTTATAATCGAAACTGTATGGTGGAAAGTGTGTTCTAATATCTATTTGATACACAAAAAATGATCACGGCTGGACTTTTTGCTGATATATTACATACATATGTTCCATTTAATTAAACAATATAAGAATATTGTAGTATGTACCACAAAAACGTGTATTTTCGGTAAAAAATCATAACTCAGAAAAAAAACTTCGCTATTAGAGATTTGGGTTGATTGTAGTTCAAAGTGTCTCTTTCCCGGTAAATAAGTTTGAGAGCAAAAAAAAAATACACTTTTTGAGAAATTAAATTTACAAAAAAATTTGCTCTTTTTGTTTATTGCTAAATAAAAAATTTTAAATAATGAAAATCAATAATTATATCATTCTATCTTGAAGTGACAAGAATTACTGACATTTGAGTAAAAACATTGTTGGAATCTATTAAATTTTGACAAAGTTATGAGCATTTTAAAACATTCTCACTGTCAATTCGAATAATCGATTTTTGCCTGAAAAACAAAATCGCGTTTAATTCGGCCGAAAAATTTTTCCGAGCCAAAAGAAAAAATACGTGTCTCATTATTTGGACCAACAAACAATGTATTTGAGTTTGGTCGAAATTAAAAATCATCCTCGTACCTGACCGGTTGTCTGGAAATGGAAAGCATCAAAAGCATTTGTGCATAGTTTATAGTAAATAGCAATATGTGAGTGTGTTCAAATTTAAACAATTACACAGGTTTACAAAAAAAAAAGTTTCTGCATGTTGAACCAAACCTCTATATCCCTGTGTTATTCGACGCCCAGAATGCGAATCCGAGGTCTGTTAGCCTCCATCACGTCAGGTTCGAGGTCATTTAAAGGTCAAGTAGAAAAAAATTCATTGAATAAACTTGAAAATTCATATATATGCGATTTCAGTCTCGTTGAATCCGAGCTCCGTTAACCTCCATGATATCAGGTACGAGGTCATTTGAAGGTCAATTAGGGAAAAATTCATTGAATACTTTCAAATTAAAACCCTTTTCAATCTCTTTCGCCTGACACCAAATTTTGTTACATATTCCAATTACCTAATTGCCTTATTTTAAGTTGGGTTTGAGTTTTTAATGAGGTGGTCATCCTCCTAAATATATTTTTGAAATAAAGTCTTTACTTTTTTAATAATTTTTATTTAATTTTTTAAAGGTGGCAACTCTTTTCGAAAAGGTAAATCTTTATTGCAAATCTACAGCCCAAACTCTTTAATTTGACACCTCATTTTTGAAAATCGAACGAACGGTGCATATCTGACGGCAATGATTATTAAATAGTTTGAATTGAATTGTTTAACAGATGGCAACTCTGTTCGAAAAACTAAAACCTTATTGCACATCTACAATCTAAGCCCTTTAGTTTGTCAAACGAAATATTGTTAAAAAGTATTTAGTTTGAAAACTAGGAATATCTTTTAGGTGTTTGAGAAGGGTTGCCACATGTTTAAAAAGTTAACTAAAACATGTATCAGTCGACAGAGACTCATAAAAGCTTTAGTTTTATTTTTGATTAGGTATACGAGATGGAATTTTTTGTGAAAGTTATTAGATTTGCGCCGTTTTTTCGAATTTCAAAAATTAGAGGAAATCTAAAAACATTGGCCTTTAGGTGTGCGGTAAGCTTTTATATTTTGAAGTAAAACAGTTGCACGGGTTTAGATGAAGTGTGACACACGGGTCGCTTATAACTCTGACTAACATTTGAAATTGTTTCTAGGGTTTTGAAACTCTATTTTGGGCGTTCTAACGCCATGCGGGTTCACTAGTCTTCTATATTGTTACGATTATCCTTGTTTACTTGACAGATTTACCAAAAATCCCTCGGCTCGTATCGCTGGATCGTTAAATAAACGCTCACGATGACCAAATTACAGTACAATTAACTTTATTGTACAAAACAAGCTTTTCAATACTCGTTTATGCAATAACAACAATTAACAATACTTGTTAAGGCACTTAAAACACTTTACCAAACTTGCTAACACGATTTATCTCTGTTTCACAACTTGCTTGTAGCATGCTGATTCGCAACTGACTGACCTCCAACTCGCTGTTGCAGCGGCCTTATATACCCGCGCTACTTCGCACTCATGGCAACTCTAGAACGTTCTGACATCTATCGCATGTTCTCTCATTCTCTCGCTGTTCGCAGTATTCATCCACTTGACGCTGTCGAATATTCTACATCATTCCTCGAACATTCTGCCATTTTCTTGTTGCTCGCTTCGCGTTGCCGCAGTATTCGCCACATTGGCCTCCACCTAAGTCTGATCGTACCGATTAGACACACTTGCTGGTCCAAACGCTGCAAGCCTTTCAAAGTGGACCACCTTCATTTTGTTTCTCGGTCTCCCAACGGTCTGGATTCGATACACTACGTCATTCAGGCGCTTGACAACCTTACACAGACCTTCCCAGTTGCACTGTAGTTTTGGGGACAAACCTTTCTTCCGTTGTGGATTCTACAACAACACCAAATCTCCTTCTTGGAAACCCTCGGAATTCATCGCCTTATCGTACCTAGTGATGTTCCGATACCAGTACTTAGAAGTATATACTCGAGTACCTCTACCAAGTACCGAGTATTTTTTGTACTTCGATACGCGTGCGCAACTACTTCGTAGGTATCGAGTACAAAGTGCAAGTGTTTACTTGTTTGCTAAATTTGGGAAAATCAACTGAAAATAGGTTGTAGTTAAAAAAAAAACGACTCATGAACCACTTGATTTTGCTAGGGTTAAAACTAAAAGAACGCTTGAAAATAGAAAACAAGTCGTCATTAGAGCAGGATGTGGACACAGCGTGTGATTTTCGGAAGCATCGCCCAGAATTCGTTCTGAAACAGAAAAATCAAACACAAGTAAGCGATTAGTTTTCTCATTACTTAACGACTCCTGTTTTAGCACTTTCAAGTAACCCCCGCATTTTAAAATAGGAGGATATCAAAACGCAATTTGCGGTCTTCATAAGCCTTTCTCCACTGTATGTTGTTAAATTGTAAACGGTCGTTGAACTAAAATTTTTCGTCTGAGTACTGTCGAGTACAAGTAGAATCGAGTATTCCCTAGCTATACTTTGAGTAGCATCGAGTATTATTTTCGATACTTTTAATGAGTACGGGCATCGAGTATATGGTGGTATCGGACGAACACTAATCGTACCTGGCTTTCATCTTGTTACTCATAATTTGTGCCCGTTGTCTCACTAGAGCATGTATCTCTGTCAGCTCTTCCTCCAGCATGTTGGACGTCTCTTTCCCAATTTTTCTTGCATCACCACTTACTCCAGACTAAAGGTTACTGGGCAAACGAAGTTCATCGGCGAAGATTACCTTGGCAGGAGTTTTACCCGTGGTTGTTGTTGTTGTTGTAGCGGCTACAACAACCCCGCCCAGGACGGTTGGTATCTCAGTCGTTGTCGTCAAGTTCCACTAACGGCAGCCCTAGGAAGCGTGCAGCTTCTGTGGGGTTGGTCCACAGGGACAAGGCCGTTAGGGTTGTCGGGTTTTCCGGGCATGCGAAGAGATGTTTCGAGTCATGTGGGGTCTCACCGCATGCCGGACACTCATTTGGCACATCCTTATTCAATCTACTCAGGTAGGAGTTTAACCTACTGCAGTAGCCGGAGCGAAGTTGTGCTAGTGTCGTTCGAGTCTCCCGGTAGCCTGACCTCCTTCGTCCAGGTTGTGAACAGGGTCGCAGGGGATTTCGTAGGGGAGAGGGCTAGACACTTTGCGGTGAAGAAGCGAGAAAGTTCGGAGAGATACCCGTTTACTTTCGAACACAGGTCATCAATTCCATTCCCAGTCGCCATGATCGAGCAATCGTCGGCATAAGAGACAATCGAGACT